ATTATGATACATATTAATTTGTTTCAGGATGTTAGGCGACTACGATTAACGACGCGCTCACATCGTTGCTATTACATGAAATTACAAATTAACTTTTAAAGAAGTTTATGGATTATTTAGTCGAAACTCTGGTACGTTTATTCCAAGAGAAATTCATCCCGTAGCTACGAGGTTTCGATTGATTAGTATTCGGCTCTTGCACATAATAATCCCATCTCATCTTTTTGCAGTGTGCGATCGCCTCCTCCTTTGTCGCAAAATCAACTGTGACATTTGACATAGGATCCCCACTGTCAAAAACATAAATATTATTATACTATAAAAAATACCATTTTTTATGTCATAAAATATTAATATTTACGTAGAAGTCCAGCCCATCAACGGATTTTCCCAGCGTTCGCGCGTATCAAAGTCCATTTGCCAAAAGTGAATATTATTTGTTCCTGATTGCATGGCACTTTTGGCAGGCTGGTAAATCCGTACTCTGCGAGTCTTAATATGCTCTTCAGGTACGCCGGAAACGCAACCAATATCCTCATCACCTACGGTAATTGTGCTTTTTAAGGCTTGTATATATTTAGTCTCCTCTGGCGACTGAAGAAACTCTTGGAGATCCTTGCGCTGTGCCAAATCAGGTTTCTTTTCTACTTCTGAGCTTTTACTTGAAAATAATCTGCTTAATCTACAAATATAGTTCCTTTAGGATTTATAAATCATAAACTCGTCTTTTAAATAAGTTACAAGATAATGTTATGTGCTCAGTTACTGTACTCTTATTTTAACAACTCGAAGAACATTACAATTACAATTTTCTAATTCTATATAAAATCGATTACAATCAGCTTTGTTACATTACATGATATCAAAAAAGTTTAGAATATTATAACTTAAATAGCCTACATCTTTTTAAACGATATTTATATGATTTTTCTTACAAAATAAATGTGTTACATAAAATTGCGAGGTTATGTCTTATTTATCTTTTTATTATCATTTTTATCTAAAAAAAAAATGAAAAGGCACGATACCTAGGACTGCTCTTGTTAACCCTACTCGCATGTTGCAACAATGCGCGGTATGCCATTTCGTTCCCAAAAACACAACAAATAACAAATCGAATGAGAAACAGCTGATCACACAGAATGATTTTAGAACGATTGTCGGCGAACTTAGTTCGTTCTTCGGCCAATATGCGGCAGGACGGAATTGCAGCACCTTTTACGAAACTGTTGTACTACACGTAGCATCGAATATCGTAATATACTTTCTTATTTATCATATATTTTCTCTAAGAAAGAATTCTGAGAAATTCCATGAAGTTTAATATATCTTTTTAGAAATGAACCAGAAGTATTGAATACTTCTTTTATAATTAAAGTTTCACATTTTTTTATAATGTTTATGTAGTTAATAATAAATTTGTAATATCTTTATGTCCTTTTAGTATGTATTATTTCGACTTTCTACCAAAAAATCATGTTACCCGTGCGTCATCAAGTGCTCGATCGATCGCCACGGACGAGAGAGAGAAAGAGGAAGAGGGAGAGATTGACCTACCCTTAATGATATTAGCGAGTATCAGACGGACGTACGCATGCCCGACGTCACTTGTTCTTTCCCTCAGGAACTGCATCGCGTAGAGATAATGCCTCGCGAGTGACACCGCGGCGAGCAAATGTAGCTCGCGTGGGCTCGTCACCCTCTCCGCGCCTTTCGCATGTAATCCAAAATTGGAAGAATAAGGTTGTTGTTACATCACGCGAGACGAGGCAGAAAATGAGGGAGAATGTAAGTGCATATGAACGTACGAAAATATAAAATCGTCGTATTCTCTTGGTACCGCTGCGCTACCGTGGTGACAAATGTTGCGTGATGATTTGGTCCAAAAAATTTAGGGTGACTAAATGAAGGATAAAGAGATTTATGTATTTGTAAAATTTATTATCTATTTGCGAATTAAAGAAAATTGCAAGACTATTACAATTCGGCAAATTCGGAATTTGGTGAGAAAAAAATGTAGATTAAATCTTATAAAAGAATTTATTTTGGTAGAAATTAATGAACATTTACTGTTAAAATAATATTTTGTTTCTGGAATAAAAAGATATATTGGTTAATTTTATACAAGTCATATACAAAGATTATACCTTTTGCAGGATAGAACTACGTTATGTTTTTTATTGATGCTCGCTCTGTGTACAAGAGTATATTCAGCAAACGCCAGACATATAATTACCAAGAGAAATTACAGCGACCAAAGCGTAAGAGGATATCTAGCGGAGGTAGGTGATTAAAGCATTCTATATTATAAAATGTAAATTTTATAAATTATATTTAATCAAAAAGGATCAATTATGAAAGAAAGATTTATTTTCAAATTTAAAACGATGAACTTTGACTTCTCAGAGAATCTGTTGGTGGAACGAAGTGTGCAAGGAAGAGTTTCACAGTAAGTTTCGATGTCGCTGCCCGAGATGGTCTTATTGCCGTGCACCAGGAAGGTATTATGATGCGCATTGCAGTATGACACGCACAGGATACATATGGACCCAGCCAGAAATGTCGTTGACGCCTCGAAATCGAATAAAT